CTGCTGCTCTGCGCTTTCTTTCAGTGGGTTGTTCTTAAAGATGTAGGGTGTTCTCGGGGGTTATTGCACATTTTTGAAGAGGCCCTGCTTTTCCAGATTGCGATCGACATTTTGGTAAGTGTGTCATTAATAACTGTAGTCGGCTGGATCGGATCGTTCCCGGAGAGGGTGGGGGGAGCTCTATCTTGCAGGGGCATCACAAGGTGGGGGGTGAATGTCTCAAAGAGGGTAGGGGCGGAGTAGGGGGTTGCCCTATTCTGGGGCAGGGGCTGGTGTGTGGGTCAACATCAGTCCCAGCGGAGGCAGAAATGGGCAAGGGGTGGGGGGGCATGCTTTAGGTGGGAACTACGTGCTCCTGAGGAAAGTGGGGTGGAGGGTTGGTCCTATAATGGGGCCGAGGGAGAGCGGGAGACTCGCCTCGGCGGAGGCAGTGTAGGGCTGAGGGGGGAGGGGTAAGGGGAGGGAGGGGCGATCTCTCTCGAAGAATTCTGACATCCAGTTTTAGTATTTCTTTCCATTTGGTTCGCCTCTCGAGGAGGTTGTAGTAATAGGTGATATCTGGCAAGTCATCTTTGATCCTGCGTAGGGTGGTTGAAAATCCGGAGGCCCTCGAAGACTGATGCTGGAGCAACACTGGCCGGAGCCGGAGCCAGGTGGCGCAACTCTGTGACCTAGCTTAGTGGGGGCGTGAGGCCTGGTAGAGAGATCTGGGGGGCTGTTTATGGGGGCAGTCTCAGTGGTCATCGGGGGTCGTAACTGAAGCAACGCCGGCCGGTGCTGGAGCAAGGTGGTGCAACTCTGTAACCTAGCCTGATGGGAGCATGAGGCCTGGAAGAGCTTCGGTTCGTGCTGAAAACAGCCATGCTGGTGGTGGTCGAAGGTGGATTGAATAGGTTTCACCTATCTGATTCGTGGTTGGGAGGCTTGTTGACACACATTTTCTGAATGTTTCTGAGTTTTCCTTTTTCTTCAATTGTTCTTAGCCGAAGCCGGGTAATGCCCCCGGTAGCTCATTTTTGTATTCTGATAAGGGACACTGGGCCCGGTTCCCAGCCGTGTTGATTGGAGCATCATCTTGAAAAAAGCAAAAAAAAAAAAAAAAACGTTAAGAAGATTGTATACAGGGAATGAGGGGAAGGGGGTTGAGTTTAGATAGAGTACTTAAGAGTAATCGAAGAAAAGATCCACCCTTGAACACCTACCAGGTTTTATTTTTCTATTTCTGTGTCAGACTGGTGGTGGGGAAAGTCAAGTATGCGAGTCGTGATTGTTTTGAATTAGTGTTGCTGCTGCTCCACTATGTGAGTTTGGATTCTGCTTCTTTTTTCAGTCTTAAAAGTTGAAATGATATTAGGAAATTGGTCCAAACCCACCCATCATCACGATGATCCCCGCGGCTTGCCGCTGGAAACTCTTTGCGATTCAAACGGATATCGTCCCTCACATGATCCGTTCCCGTTCCCGTTCCTGTTCCCGTTCCCGTTCCCGTTCCCGTTCCCGTTCCCGTTCCCGTTCCCACAGAAAATCCTCCAGTCTAAAAATCTCCCTGTACTTTACCCGTAAAGTCTCCCCCCTGGCAGATGATTTCTCGCCGGACTACCGTCTTCACTCGAATAGAATGCCCGGTCATTATAGCTGTATTTATCCCGGGAAGGGGGAGGGAGGGGGGGGGGGTTGCACTGGCACTAGACTTCGGCATGAAGGTCTAACCAAGCACAGAAGCCGAAGATCCCTTGTCTTACAGGTTTCCTTTTGTAGCTGCAGCGACACCCATGCAGCTGTAGCGGAGAACCGGGTTCGTGATGCGTGTCCCAGATGGTCCAAGGCTAGATTCCTTTCCCCACTTGGAAGGGCCATGGTAATCAACACTGCCATATTCTCTACTACTTGGTACAGCTTATCCATTTGGTCCCTTGGTGGGATTTCAGCAGCCATCATCCAAAGGTTGATCATTAAGTTCCTTTGGAAAGGTAATTCAGAAGCACAATGTGCACTCAACAACGTAACCCGGTGGAAGAAGACGGAAAAGCAGAGGGAAGGGACCCCTGGGTGGTCCCCACCCTGAGACTGATAATAATAGAGACAACCCTCTTGGCCAAATGGCCCGTCAGGGCGCTTACCACATCTGGGAAGCAAGCATGGATCCAGCTTGCTCAACAGGTGCTGGAAGAAGGTATATACTATATATATAACCACGCTGTTGGAACAACCCTGCAAGGAATCGAACCGACAATCTCGGGGTAAACTGCCAAACACCTTAACCCACTGCAACCATGACCCAGTGATCAAATGTGGAACCATACCGATCGCGATATCCACCCCACCCCTGCACAGTTGCAGTATGCTCAAATGATCTACCCACACGGCATCCTCGAAGATCCTCTTCCAAGGAATTGAACCAAGGATCCAGCTTGCTCAACGGGCGCTGACAGACTGGGAGCTCTCAAGGCCTACGTAGACCCTAGACACGGTCTGACAGGTCATGCTCATGCATGCATTCACAGCAAAAACCAGCTCCAGCACTTGGGAACTACCATCTTCATCCGAATAGAACACCCAGTCATTATTGTTGTATCTAGACTGAAAGTTGTCCCAGATACAAACACCCGGTCATTATTGTTGTATCTAGACTGCAAGTTGGCCCAGATACAGCTACAATGACCGGAGGTTTTATTTGGGTGAAGACGGTAATCATGAAGGAATTGTGCAAGATACTTCAGCAGATGCTCTTGCAGCCATCCACTCGTAAAGAGAACCCTGCAATCTGGAATGCAGAGGGTGTGCCTTTTGCTTTTTCCTTTTTTCTGTTTTGTTTTCTTCTGCAGGGGAGAGCATTCAAAATAACTTAAAATTGGAACGACACACGGAGTGCCTTTCCAATTCTTTTTTCAAGAGAAAAGGCGACGGCCGTGATATATCATCCAGTGACCGGACCCAGGTAATTCTGAACGATTTTATTCTGGTCGTCTGGTTGGATCTGGATTTGAACTCGGGCTGCATTTCAACAGTTCATGGCGGTGCACCAACTGAGCTAGGTAGGCCCATTGGTAAGGTATGCCTCTCCTACTTTCAAAGGCTGCAGGAAATTTGGGGCTCCGACGGATTCCGAAGGTTATCTAGCAAGTTGGTCACGGTCACGTCTGGGATCCATCCAATCATCAACTCATGGCTCCCTGCCTAATCGCTTTGCATCCAGCTGTCAGGTCTTCATCATCGAGCGGATAAGCACAGGCAAGCTCTAATGCATGTCTTTTTTTTTTTAATTATTATTATTATTGGGTTAAACCACCATTACGTGACCCCGAAGATATCGAAGGCTTGGGACAACCGGACTAAGCCAACTTGAGAATCGATTGACTGAGCCTCTCCAAATAAATCGGAGGCTTGGGTGAACCGGACTAAAGAGGCTCGGAATACGCCTAGTGAAAAAAAAGAGGCTCGGACGTACTTGCTTTGAACCTCCCTTTTACTCAACCCAAACTCAGCATGCATCGACAGAACGTTCACATGGCGTACTTGGACCGGCTGGGAACTGGGTCCAACTGCGACTCTGCGACTGGGGATCATGACATGTGTGCAGCGGGAAATCCTTTCATGCTGGTCCTTTAACATGTTTAGACAGCCCCTGCGTACATATTATTCTGGACCAATGGCTTCAACACCCCTCGACCTCTTTGTGATATCTTCAGGATCAAGGATATATCAGAAGACAGTTCTGCCTCAATCTCCAGATGGAAGGTCCGAAAGATGGTCATCTGGTGCTTTAGCTGAGAGGTCTTCTGTGATAAATGCTTGATCGAACAATGTATATGGAGCCAAGGATCCGCAAAGAGTGATGAAAAGGACTCAAATGGACAATGCAGCGTCAGCAAAGCATCAACAAGCATTTTTTCATCCAGATACATACGTGCAAGGAAAATGAGCGATAGCGAACTTCAGAAATCAAACAGCATCATACACATGAGACCAGATAGTTGTGACCTCGAACCAATAGCAGAATTGC